CGCAAAGCTTCCCAGCGAGAGCACGGCAAGACCGTGGCAAAGGCGCGGTTCCTTATCTACTTTCCCAGCCCGATCGACCCTTTCGAAGCTTTTCTCGGTTTTCGTTACTACTGCTTACCTCCATTGACTACACGAACAATGGGCTGGCGCAGGACTCGGAGGAAGCTATGGAGCAGGTCCAAGAACGCCGCTTACGCTCTGGAGCAGGCTCTCGACATCCTCAATCGCGCCGCCGTCTATCCCCCCGTGCCAGGCTTGCAGGCCGGTGTCAGCTGTCTCTTGGCGGTGTTTGGCAGGATCCAGGCATGTGTCCCGTATGGTCCTCATGAGTGCCAATTCTCAATTTCAGGCCAGATCTCGCGCGCGAATGCCGAATCTATCAGGGAGCTAACCAGGAACATGAACGATTTGACCGAGACGGTGAACAAGTACACAGAACTCAACGGACAGAGTATATCACCCCAGGTGGAATTGGCGGTCAACGAAGTGCTCTCGTGAGTGTGTTGCTTATGGTATTGTTCATAAATGCTCATATAGTGCAGATCGTGGGATGCGATCAATGACGAGGCTGTGAAGATCGAGTCGCGGCGCAAACTGCTGAGGGTAATGGATAACAACAAGGATCGTGGCGGTAGAAGAGTCGCCGGATTCTTGCGAGATCTATCCCAATCGATCAAGGAATTCATGGTATGGAACACTTGTCCTTTACTTGGAAAATTTGCAGGCCATAGACTGACCCACGGTCTTCGCTAGCGCTTGCTTCCCCGTCTGACAGGTATGTCTAAGACAGTTATTATCTTGACATATTGCATGGATATCCACTCACACTGCTCCTCCAGATAGCGAATTGTTTCGCTGCTGTTGGGAGCGGCTTCCCGCTGAGCTGCGCAACTACATCTACGGCCTCCTGCAGAGCCCCGGCCACAAAACCGGTTTGTCAGCACTGTCCCTAGTCTCGCATACCTGGTCCCGACGCTTTCGTCCTCGCCTCTTTGCCGGGCTTAAGCTGATAACTGAGGGAGACGGTTGCACGCTATACGGCATAGTCCGGTCCCCGCTGTCGGCCTGGCTGGCGAAGCACATTGCCGTCCTGGATTTCGACAAGATTGGCCCTCGTTATCCACTCTGGATGGTTCTCCTCCGCCTCCTCCCCGCGTGCCGCGACGTCTGGCATGATTTCGGTGACAAGCCCGTCCGCGTGTCGCTGTCGCACAGCGCAGGTTTGAAGAGCTCGTTGTGGAGCATCACCTCCTTGACACTCTGGGGTTGCAACTTCCCGTCATTCCGAATCGTGCTCCGCATACTAGCCGACATCACCTACCTGGAAAAAGTTCTTCTCGGCGGGGTCACATGGTCGGGTGACGGACTCACAACAGCTGACGCCGCGAGCAATGTCTGCACGGGTGCCTTCAGCCATGTCCGCTCAGTCCAGATGTGGGGCTGCACGAACAACATGGCAGTGGGCGCATGGATCCTGGCAGCCACGAGCACACGACACTCGTTCACCAGACGTCGGACGGCAGGGCCAGCAGTCCCTGCAGAGACATGGGCCATCATCGACCTCATCCAGACATTCTTGAAGGACAACAGTGATCTCCTAATAGCAGGTTTTAATGTCAAGGAGGCGATGGCAGGTGAGCTCGACTGATACCTCTACCAGATTGCTGTACTCACCGGATGGTCCAAGATACTTACAGATTTGTTGGTTCCCTGTTTCCTGCATACATCTCAGTCTGGGTTGTCAAGTCTACACCTGCCGCCGGCGCCAATGAGGCCTGGTCTGTCTGCCAAATCATTCTCGCTACCTCAGACGAGATAACTTCGAAATCGCACCGGTATTTCCACTCTCGCGATTGGTCAGCACTCGCTTCCCTTCTGCCCGCGTTTCCACAATTACAACAGTTCCAAGTCCTCTGCGGGGAGGAGCATTCAGAAGAGGACTTCCGCGCGCTCTCCGACAAGGTCGCGGAGGCCATGAATAACCACATGCATCCGCCTGTCACGCTTCAACATGACCGTGACCTGCCAGGCGGGAGATACTTGCAGCCTGCGCTGTTTGGTCTGACCGAGGCAGATGTGGAGGCAGGGCGAGAGAAAGTGGTACGTACTGGAAAGCAGAATTACTTGATACCTAGCTGAGCAGTCTTTTTGCGCAGAGACGACGAGTCAAGGAGAGAGAAGAGAGAGAAGAAATGTATCGCTTACTCGCGGCACACGATTCCGACTCCAAGAGCGAAACGGATTGACCAATGTTTGCTGATCATATGTCCAGCGTTCTTGTCTACTCTTGTTTGATCATCGTTATCGTAATTTCACGGTCGCTCATATGCTGTCTTGCCTTCGTTCTCATGCAACCTTTGCGCTTGTATGGCCTAGTAG